ATTAATTAGCACTTTATCTGTTTAAATCTGTATTAATTATACTTCATCCTAAGAAAAATAAAATATCTGTTAGTATATACAAATTAAAATATAATTGCCTTTATAAGAAGAATTGATAAATTACTTATAATATTGACATTACGAATGTAATAAAATGTGTCAGTAAGTGGACCATCTTTCCCTGAAGATCCTTCCATCTGCAAGTCAATGACTAACCAGAATTGTTTCCCGACATAATTTTCTGCTGTGTGCGTTATATTTTGCATGTTATTAAGAGACAATGATGCGTTAACATTACTACTATTATTTATCATATTCATATAAAAACAAAAGGTGTTCCAGTTGGCAGGAGAAGTAATATTAATTTGATCACTGTAGGCAGGATGAGGTTCATTGATGAAAATATTAAAATTATTTAAAGTGTTGCCTTTGAATTCAAGAATGTCAACTTCGGGAGGCCAGGAGGTAGCAGTTAGCCAGAATGCTATGGCAGGAAAAATGTATATACAATCAGAATTGAATAATGATGTATTAATCCAAAGACATGTTTCACATTAGAAATTAAAATTAAAGCAATAGCAAAAAAAAGAACTTAAATACCTGGCCAAGTTCCTAAAATCGTAGGTGCCATAAAATCAGCACATATTAAATAATTTGGATATGAAGAATTCACTTCAATAAGTTCTTTGGCATGGATAGTACCCGAAAGATATGTGAAATTATTGCCATCTATTTGCGTAAAATTTCTAGTTGCCTTAAGTGTTAAAACTGAGTCATTTATGTAAATATTCTCATGATAAGTAGAATTCCCTAACATTAGGGCTGCACCGTTATGCCAAGAGCCCCAGCTATTATAACAAAAAAAAAATAAAATAAAAAAAAAAATCAAATTTCATGATCCAATGTTTGAATATAACTATTAAAGAAATTTATCACAAACGAACGGGTATAGATAGCCCCAATATGACTCGAAAATGCTATAATTTGAAAAGGACGATTGTGGGATCATGATATCAGCATCATTAAGAGTTACAAAAGAAAAATACACAGTCATAAAGAGGAAAAGTGGTAAATAGGTTGCTAAAAGGAACATTGTAGATTTAGCACATTAACTAATTGAAAAACCTTTGACAGAGGCATTATGGGATTTATATATAATTTTTAGCAGTTTATATTATATTTCGATCCTATAAACTATAAAATAACACTATAAAACGCTCCTTTAATGATCGAACTCTTTAAGGATAGTATTTTTTTTATCAAGTAAAAAGTTTGTCAAGTAAATCATACTCTTTACACACGATAACGGTATTTATCGCTATTACATAAAAGGTGCGTGATCAATACACTTTTTGATAAGATCTACAATGAAGGATAGAGGCTGATTATATAATAATCAATTAATCAAATCGTTAAAATTTGATGAGCCCGGATCAGCCGGACGAAGCAAAACAAGAGAATAAAAGAGAAAAATGCATAAAA